GTAATTTTTTTTTTTTTTGGCTCTCCTGTAAAGTTGATGAAATGTCACTTACGCCTTTCTGGTTCTCACCCCTCGATGTGCGATTAAAATGTTTATTTTATTTTATTTTATTTTATTAAATTCAGGCAATCATATGATCATATGACTTTATAACTTAAATGGAGATAATTTTTGAAATCAAATGTGTTTCCATTTAAACCTATATGGAAAGATGACTTTGAAAACCCTGCCCATCATGTGACACGTAATATGAGCATTGTGGAGTCAGTACAGTTTTAAACTATTCAAATTTCTAATTTCACTGTACTTTATAACATATAGATGATGTTTCTCATTCTAACAAAAACTCCAGTGAAGTATTTCTGACAATACTGACATGTTCTCTTCAATAACAGAATGACATATCACTTACCAGTGTACAGCAGTCAGGAGCGGTTGCCAACAACTCTGCTCAGAAATGGCTGTCAGTGAATCAAAAATGTCCTCACTGTTCCCTGACACCTCTTGTGAATGTCTTGACTTCATCCATGATATTACACCTTACTGTTCACTAGCACCATCGGAGACCGGCGTTCTGCAGAATGGCATCCATCTATCCAAAACTGTCTCTGTCCCCCCCACCCCCAACCCATTCCTCATAATAATAATAATAATAATAATAATAATAATAATAATAATAATAATAATAATAGCAATAACACTAACAATAACAGATTATGAATGAATGAATGTTATAAGTTTATTTGATTATTCTTTATTTGATTGTGCTTATAAGCTAGATAACATGGATCATTATGTTTTGTCTCTACTAACATTAAAATTTGACTCAATTAAAATAATATAATATAATTTCTATTAATATTATTTGTAATTACACACACACACACACACACACACACACACACATACATATATATACATATATCATACATACAAGCATTTTAGTAGTGCCAGACTTTGGACATTATGTGGATGCCATTGTAATATATTGTCAAACATTGGCTCATATTGCTTAGTGCAAAGGATTGCCATGATTTTGTTTAGCATTGCTGCAACCACTGCATCACACCCAATAATTAGAGCTATACAATGTGAATAATGTATTATATTGTGTTTATGAGTGAGTCGGTTTATAGGTCTCATGCATTTCACAGGAACATGTAACTATTCACAACCTTTAGGGTTTAGTTTAGTTTAAGTGCGAGTGTTTGAAATGCTTTGCTTCATTTGCTTGCTTCAATATATGCAAATGTTTCAAAGCTGTTTTCAATTCACTGCTGAGTGATTACAATTTTTGCACCATTAAAGTGCAAAATTAAATTCTGCAAAAGGAATGTTCTGTCAACAGTGTCAATTCATGTTGACTCATATCTCAGTTTTTAATTTGCTGCTGTTCGAGACAGATTCATTTCTAGTTATGCTCAGTACACAGCACTTTGCCATGTTCTCTCTCTTTCTGGCATTTTTGCACGTATCACATAAAAATGAATGAATTTACCAGTGTTATAGGGTTATGAGTTGGAATATAATCTTTGCACAGATAAGGTTAGTATGACATTAATCTCATGTTAAAGCAATAAAAAAGCCTGTATGTGTTACAATTGACTGTGTCACAGCAATTTGAAAGTGATTATAAATGTACAGTAATGACTTAAATTTAGTCTTTTCATCACACAAAAGTCAAAGGTATTGTGTGTTTATTATGAACTGTATATGGAAAAGAGCTGCATTTAGATTCTACAAAAACTCCTTTTGTGTTCACGCAGCAAAAAAAAAGTTTTTGGAACAATAGATTTTCTGTAACTTCAAACAGCAGTACTTGTTGACAGTAAAATATTCAATTTAAAGCAATGATTTCATATGCAATTAATTTAATAAATCATTTAAAAAACGAATAAATAAATATGAATAATGAGTAGTAACATAAGTTCAAGGCTCCTTGTATAATAAAAGAACACAAGCATGTTTCAAATGTGTGAATTTCCATTTTTAAACATTAAAATCCCCATATGCTGCAACATGTGCTGTAACACATCAGTAATTTATCTTAATCTACACTCTTACACATCTCACATTTATCATTTCCTAATTTAATTGAGTTTTAATTCTGAGACGAGCAATCCTTACAGAGAGCTACAGAGTGAAAAATACTATAGAGAACAAACCAATCTGAGGTGAACGTGGGCTGCTTCAACTGTAGCCAGATTTACCTACTCATTAAGACTTCAGAAGATGATTTACTGTACACTCCATCTGCACCGAGGAAATAAAGCCAATTGGGACGCAAAGAATTCCCAGGGTACTTCATATGTTCAGGCAATCCAAGGGAATAAAAAGGGGAGGCCAAACACAGTGGGATAATGAACAGAGGTGAAGAGGCATTCCTGCGCACAGACCACATCACAAGTGGGCAGAAACAGCAAGATAATAAAAGTGGGTAAAAACACTATAAAGTTAAAGTGCCCTCTGTGTGCCCTCAGGGCTGCTGAGTTCCGGGTAAACAAGGTCGCGTTGGAGCCCTCCTCACCGAAGCATGTGACTTTTAGCGCAGTAACAACGTCATTTGGCTGCTCTTGTGTTTCATTGTGTTTAGATTACTTGAAATGAAATTCAAATTAAACTGCCTCACTGATTTCATTTCAAGTGTTTTTGAGAAAGTGGATATTTTAGCAATATCAGGGGCCAACAGTAAAATTGGACTCATGCTTTTTCAATTGTTCCCCAACAGGGGGCCCACGTTCACACAAAATGACTTGCCCATCTAT